CCATTGGAAATCGCTCTCGAGTGAGTGCAGTGCTGGTGGGGTGGGCTGGGACCCAAAAGCATGAAACAGCCAACTCCTGTCCACCCGTGTCTGTGAGACGGGCTCGGGGTGGAGGAGCCGTGGAGCACTGGGGGGCCAAAGGCAGCCCCTTCTTCTCCTCCTCTTCCTCCCCATCCCCGTGCAGGGTGGCCATGTGCGTGGGGAAGTGCAGCCGGATCGTGGGTCCCTGCCTGCTGGTGCTGGGCACCCTCTCCGTGGCAGCCAACATCCTCCTGCTCTTCCCTGGTGGGGCATTCAAGTACCTGGTGGAGGGGCACATCAGCAAGGACGTCAAGGTCATGCCGGGTGTCTGGGGAGGCGGCATAACTGTGAGTACCACGCTTTGCACCACGTCCTTCCTCGCGTGTCTGTGGGACGAGGGGAGGGAGCGGGGGGCTCCCCTTTGCCCCCCCAGCCACTTTTCCCTCCACGCAGGTCCTGCTGGCAGCCGCCCACATCACGGCGGTGGGGTGGCGATGCGCTGGCTGCTCCGACTGCGGCACCCGTTGCAATGTAAGGCAGCCCCAGGACCTTCGTGCCAAAGCAGTCCCAAGTGGCGTGTGGTGGGTGGCCCCAGGGTGGGACATGACATGGAGCCTCCTCTCCCATGGCCCCCTGGTGGGATGTGTTAGATGGTCCCTCTCCCATGGTGGGTCGTGGCAGGGTGTCCCCTCTCCTGTGCTGGGTTATGTCAGGGTGACACCTCTTCCATGGTGCGTCATAGCAGGGTGTCCCCTCTACCATGGTGGGATATGGCAGGTTGCTGCCTCTCCTGTGGCCCTGTGGTGGGACATGGCGTGGAGCCTCTCTCATGACCTCATGGTGGGATGTGTTGGGTGTCCCCACTCCCGTAGTGGGTCATGGCAGGGTGTCCCCTCTCCTGTAGTGGGTCATGGCAGGGCGCTACCTCTCCTGTGGCCCTATGGTGGAACATTGCATGGGTCCCCCTCACCTGTGGCAGGATGCTGCACGGTGCCACCTCCCTGGAGGACAGGGCTTCCCCTGTGTGCTGGCATGGGCTCTGCCCCACCAGGCTCTGTGTGGCAGCTCCCTGCCTGTCCCTGCTCCCTGCCTGTCCCTACTTCCTGACCACTTTTGCCCAGCTCGAAACACCCCAGCAATGGCTCCATCCTCAGCCTCAGCTCCCCGGGGCTGGAGCCCCTTGGGGTGAAGGGGAGGCGAGTTTTTTCCCCCTTACCAAACTCCGCCGATAACGTGCAGCTGTGTTTTGGAGCCCACCTGACTTCAGGTCCCTCCCCGGGTGCTGCCCACAGGCTTTCATCTCTGCTGTGCTCTCCAAGCTGGCGCTCCTGGGCGCCGCCGCCTGCTTCGTCCTCTCCGGGGTGGGTTTGACAAATGGACCCCTCTGCTTCTACAACGCCTCTGAGCACAGCCGTGGGCATGGCACCCTCTGGGGCTACCCCTTCCTGGACGCTGGCAGCCAGGAGCCTGACGCCAGGTGAGCCAGCGGGGTTGAATCGCCGGTGCCACCTCGTCACCTTATTGCTAATTAAGTCGGTGTTATTTATGGTGGGTGGGGTTGGCGGGCTGGCTGGTGGTGATGTAAGACTCTGGTAGCTCCAGAGGGCCTCATCTTCCATGGATTTCTACGTGGTGCTTCCCATCCCCATCACCCTGCTGACCCTGCTCATCCTCAGGATGAAGGATGGGGCGTGTGGGGCACACCTCCGCAGAGGAAAGCCATGCGATTCCTGACCTGCCGCAGGGCAGCATCTTGCATCTCCTCTTCTTCCCCGTGGCATAGGGCAGAGAACTACCTGTACGATCGTCGCACCTGGAGCATCTGCCTAGAGCCAGCAGGTGTCGTGGCCTGGAACGTCGTCCTCTTCTCCCTCCTGCTGCTCATCAGTGCTGCTGAGATGGTGCTGGCCTCCCTCCAGATCCTCAACGGCTGCCTTGGGTGCCTCTGCGGCTTTTGCGAGGGGAAGTAAGGACGTGCCACGGTGCCAGGAGGCTGGCACTTGGAGGAGGCATCATCCCCGGGTGTCCCTCAGCCGGTGGCAAATGTCGTGGCGGGGATATGGCACAAGCTGTGATACCAGCCCGGGGCAAGACAGACTCCCCCACGGGGGAGAGACACCCCAGCCCACAGGAGACGTCGAAGGGCCATGCGTGGGGTCAGCGTGTAAAAGGGCTGCCTCTGTGCGGAGCCTTCCACCCAGGCAATGTCTCTTCCCGCGCCCTGGCACGGATGCCTGAGGGGCTGGCAGCCAGCCCGGTGAGCGATGGAGGTGAGGACCTGGCTCCCGGCATGCCAGCACCGAGCCCAACGGCTTCCCCGGCCACTCCTCATTAGCCTTCACCCACCTAAGTGCAAAACATGACATGATGATATTTGTAGAGATAAGAGTTGGAACATTAACTTAATTTCGTTAATCAATCTGTATTTAGGGCAGGTTGTGTTGGTGTTTGTCTCCTGCGTGAGGCAGGAGGGACGAAGGGGACCGGAGGAGCCAGGCTGCAGCTGGGGGACACGGACGGAGTCGTGCTGAAGGAGGCAGTGCTGGAAATGAGGTGTAGTCCCCCAAAGTTCACCCATAGGCACACACACGTGCACGCAGCAGATGTTGGGAGCAGCCGCTCATCCCCACCAGCCTGTGACCCGCTGCTGCACTCATGGGGGGTGTCACCACCTTCGGCACATCCCCCATCCCCGCACCCTCGTCCCCTAAGCCTTTACAGGGACCAAGCATGGGTACAGACCTGACCCTGCCTGTGCTGCAGAGGTCTGCACATAACTGACAAGGTTCAGAGGAGAGTAGCAATGTCCAAGGTAGTTAAAAACAGGGGGGGGGGGGGGGAAAAAAAAAAAGGCAATGAGCAGATTAAAGAGTAACTGGGCAACTTTGGAGACCGTTGAGACAAAGAGGAAGTGGCTCAGACAGGATCATTAAAAAGGAGCGATTAAATATTTACGAGCATGGGAGGAAAAGCATTGGAGTGGGATGGTGGTACCAGGTATGGCACAGCTGGAGCTTCATGTCACCCCAGCCTGGCGTCTGGCACTCACGGGTGGCGCGGGGTGTCCCCGGCTGCCTTCTCCCTGGCATTGCTGCTGGTGCCCCCTGTTACGTATCCCATGGGGTGGCTCATGTGCTCAGAAAGGAGCCTGGGGTTGGGCTGGTGGAACAAGCTGCCATGCCTGACCAACTATATAATTAAAAAATATCAATAAAAAAGAGATAAAACCCAGTTTTGAGGTGGTAGCATATGCCTTCTCTGTGATGTGGCCGTGCAGGCTGGTGGCTTGACCCCATGCTGTGAGCACTACGGTGCACTGGGCTCTGGGTTGGTGCCTTGGGGTCCGGCACTGGGGGACCGGGGGGAACCAACCCGGGGGGAACACTAGGAGATGAAGCAGCTCCTTTGACCCCTTTTTCTGTGGTGCCGGGAGCTACCACCCCGCCGGGCCACAGTGGCTGTCAGGGGGATGTTCTGGAGCACATCATGTAGTGTGAACATGCTAAATGAGATCTGCTCGTATGGTGACCGTGTCCCATTCTCGTAGAGACAGGCGAAAGCGATGGCTGGGCCACCAGAGACGGAGGCCTCATTGTAGGGCAGCTCTATGTAAGCCAGATCCGAGTAAGCGCTTGGGCCCTCGTAGATGACCCACGGCTCGCTCCAGCTCTCCACGTCCCTGGGAAAGGTGCTCAGGTGAACCCCCATGTTGACCCGTGACATGGAGCTGGTGGGGTGGGAGTAGAGGACCCACGTAGGTGCTTGGAAGAAAGGATCAGGGCCAGGGGTTGCCATGGGGTCCCCTCGGACCAAGGTGACACTGCTGGCATGGCTGAGATGTGCTGGGGTAAGACAGCCCTCCTCGTCGGCTTCTGCGGGCTTGTGCTGGCCACCGGTGGCCACGGTAGGTAGCTCATCACCAGCTGCCTGCCGAGTGGGCAAGTACCGAAACCCTGGGAGCATCCCAGGGAGCAGGCGGTGAGCTGAGCCCCGGAGGAGCATCGCAGGGTCCCGGAGGGTGGTGGGGACGTACACGAAAGGTGCGGGGAAGCCAATGACGCTGCCATGACAGCCGTGGGGGGGCTCAACCAGCCGCTGGACCAGTTGCCCCCCGTGGAAGACGGCCCCATCGTCCGTGCTCAGCGCCTGGACCCTGAAGCCCAAGGGGCTGCGGGCATTGCAGTAGAGGACATTGGAGCCGTCCTCCTCGTCCACCGAGACCAGCTGGCACTCGCCTGTCTGCAGGTTGGGAATGAACTCCCCGAACCGCCAGCCCCGGCCATGGTCATCGCTGTAGAAGGCGAAGGAGTGAGGGGTGGTCTTGCAGAGCTGCCCGAAGCACTCCTTGCAGTCGATGTGGTAGCTGCTGGCAGGCACCAGCAGCCGGCCGGAGCGCAGCTGGATCCCGTGCCCAGGTCCCAGAGCGAACGTTGCCCAGTCTGGGGAGCGGAGATAGAAGGGGGGGTGAAGAGTGGCCTCCATGGTGCCCCTGCCCTGCCCAGTGTGTAAGGGGGTCCAGAACACCACCCCAGCCCAGCCAAGCAAGGTGGTGGGGTGGGAGGGCAGCAGAGCCCAGTGCTGCCTGGTTGTCCTCACACATGGTCCTCCCCATAGCTACAAGGCTTCTCCACCTCCTTTTCCTGTACAAGCAACACAGATACTCTCTCTCTCCTCTCTCCTCTGCTTGGGGGTCCTCTTCCACCCCCATCTCTTTGATGCTCATGGGCTTCCCACCCCCGAAGTCACCTCTGGCCACACGATAGGAGGCCAAAACCCAAGTGCTCCCTCCTGTTGGCTGTCCTCCCCGCCTTCCCTCCCCTCTCTGGTGGCCTACCTTTGATGGCCCCACCAATGACCTGCTGTGTCAGGTCTGTGGCTGCGCTCCAGCTCAGGCCCTGGTCAGCGCTGGTGACGCAGCAGAGGCGGGTGACGTTTTGGCCAGTGACTATCTGGTAGGCTTCGGGTGTCCTGCCCAGCACCGTGATGAAGAAAAGGAAGAGGGTGCCGGTGAACTCGTCGTAGAGCGGGCAGGGGTTCATCGACCGGTGGTGCTGCAGCGTCGCCGTCTCCAGCACGCGCATGTCTTCCCACTGCCCCAGGAGGAGGAGGAGAGGATGGAGAGAGGTGAGGACCACCCCACTTCACCCATGCTCTCCCTGTGCAGGTGCCTCCAGGAGCTCAGCTGTGTCACGCACAAACAGTGGAGGATAACCACCCGCCTGTCTCTGTGCCTCCCAAGCCCGGGTGCGTCTTCCCCCCGTCCCACCTCCACGTAGCGCCCGTAGACAGTGCCACGGCGCAGCACCAGCAGGTTGGCATGGGCATCATCGGCGCTCAGCCGCTCCTCGGCGAAAGCCAGCAGCTTGGCCACGCAGGGCAGGTAGAGCAGGGCGGGCACGCGGTACGTGACGCCGTTGGACTCCTTCTCGAAGAGCACAGTCCGGGCGGGGAAGTGCCGGGAGCCCATGGCATCTGTGGCAGAAAGGCAGGTTGGTGAAAGCCGGGGGGGGAAACCAGCTGCTGGGCACGGTGCGGGGTGCTGGCCAGGAGCTGGGCTGTCTTGGAGGGGTTTGGGTTTTAACCTCATAGGCTTGGGTTTGGGGAACCATCACCCCCCCACCCCGGGTGCTCAGGTCGCTGCGGGCAGGGTTGGGGTTGAGAGGGACTGAACACACGCAAGTCACTGCTGCTTAAAGGTGGGACAGGATTTTGGGTAACACCAAAGAGGCTAACCTGGGCTACCCCAAAACAAACTGAAATCAAATTATATTGATCGTCAAGATGCTCGTCAAAAGGGATTGCTGGTAAATCAAGGCTGGTCAGCAAAGGGCAGGGTGAGACCTGTGGTTCCCTGCTCCCATCGTCAAGCGGGTGTCGGGGGGACAGAGCCCATCTCGGCACAGCTAAGACCCCGGGACCAGCCCTAGGTCCTCCGAGGGGGACACAGAGCATTTTGTCCTGCATTTCTGGTGCCTCCAGCGCAGGGGACCCTGCGGACCCAGCCGGCTCCTCATTTCCCCCTGCCCTGTGGAGGAAACCTGGAGTGCACAACACAAACACCGGGGTCCCCGGCTGGGCCATCCCTGCAGCAGTGGGGTGCCAGCATGTCCCCACGCGCCTTTCCTTCAGGGACAGTGTGACTACCACCGGGGTCAGCTGCGTCCAGGCTACGTGTCCCTGTGCATCCCAGCGCGTCGCCGCTGGAGGAGACGGGCACCCTGCCACAGTGGCCAAGGGCAGCTTTCACCTGTGTTTTAATTAGCAGCTTTCGCTGACTGAACACCCCACAGAGAAAGCAAAGGCACTCACCGCGTCCTGCTCAGCTGGGGTGTCCCCGCCGTCCCTTTGCCCCCACCACGGTGTAACGCCGGCTCCTGCAGCCACCGGCTTTCTGCAGAGCCTGCCGCCTCGCTGCCACCTCCTCCCCCTTGGAGGGTCCCCCCACCGATGGGTCACGGGGCTCCCACAGCAGCAGTGGCTGGGGAAAAAACCCGAGGCTGCACCCCCCGG